ATGACCATTCACTTTGACCCGCTGGGCCTGGTGGTGTGTTTTCCACCAGTTTTCTATAGCAAGAGTTAGAGGGTTCATTCTCAATGTTAGACTAGGTAGACTTTGGATGGAATCAGACAGTTCTTACGTGCTTTTAAGCCTAGCTCAAAATCTACCCTGTAGGTCTGCAGAGATTCTCAGTCCTCCAAGTTCTGGTTGTCCCAAAGGTGATTTTTCAAGAGGCAATTGGATTTTCTTGTTTTCTTTTGAAGAGATTTCAGTTCTCTCATCCAAGAAGCTTCTTCAGCTCTGACAGGATAGTGGGGGATGGAAGGATTTATCTTCCTTGCAGACAGCTGGTCATCTGCATCCTTTTAGAGCAAGGGTCTTCAAACTTGGCAAGTTGAAGACTTGTGAAGTCCAGCTCCCAGAATTCCTGAGCTAACATGTCTGGAGGAAGAGGAATTCTGGGAGTTGAAGTCCACAAGCCTTCAAGCTGTCAAGTTTGAAGACCCCTGTTTTAGAGAGTCGTTGAGGCCACTTGGAGGTTTATCTGTGTCCTCAGAGTCACCAGATGGTTCCTGTAAGTCTGTAATTTTTCTCCTGTAGAAATCCATTCCTCCTCCCACACCATCCAAAGGGTGTTAATCCCAAATTGTGTAGCTAAAAGTCTGCAGTCATCCAGATCGCGATTGTCCCAAAGCTCCTTTTTTTTTCAGGAACCCACTGGACTTGTTTTTTCTTTTGAAGATGTTTTGCTTCTCATCCAAGAAGCTTCTTCTGCTCTGACAGGACTTCCCCACTATCCTGTCAGAGCGGAAGAAGCTCCTTGGATGAGAAGCGAAATGTCTTCAAAAGAAAAAAAAAAAACGAAGGAAGGTCAGTTGCCTCTTGAAAAATCACCTTTGGGACCAACCTTGTAGGTCTGTGATGGCGAACCTATGCCACGCATGCCGGAAGTGGCACACAGAGCCATTTCCCCCGGCATGCAAGAGCTCGCCTGGAAGAGCCCCACTGCACAGGTGCCGCCCAACAACGGATTGTCGGGTATGTGGCGTGTATGCATGGGTGGTTGCACGCAGGAGACACGTGTGCCTGCGCAGAGATGCGCAACACACACTGGAGGGTTGTAGGCACATGCGTAGAGATGCGTGGCGTGCAGCAAGAGGTATTGCACACAGATGCGCAGATGACAGTGTGCGGCAAGAGGAATTGCACACTGTCAGTGCGCAGACGTGCAGCGCACTGCGAGGGGATTGTGCACCCAGGCGCAGGGGGTGGGGTGGGAGGGCCCAGCACACGTAGCCTTCTGGGTGCTGGCACTCGAGCTCACGCGCAATTATCAGCACAGGAGCCGAAAAAGGTTTGCCACCACTGCTGTAGGTTGTTTTCAACACAGCCCTAATCTTTGGAGATATTTATTCCAGCGATCCGTATTCAGCCATTGTAGTCAGTGGCTGCTTCTGCGAGTTTCCAAGAAGGTCCTTCGCAGATTCAGGGAGCCCATCTTTGGTCTTGCCTTAAGAAATGGGATGGGGACACACACACACACACACACACACACACACACACACACAATCTGCATGTAGAAAGCATTGTTCTTTCAAATGTTCCAAGTGCCCCCTAGTGGATTCCACACAGGAGTATTGCCCCCTTCCCCCCAGTTTTCAACCAGTATTTCTCAACTTCAGCAAGGTTAAAACGAGCGGACTTCAACTCCCAGAGTTCCCCAGCCAGCTGGCTGGGGAAC